TAAAACTTATTCAGTGAACAGCCAGCCATAGCTTTACATGTACTTCTTTTCTCTCTGATCTTTTTTTTTCTCCTCCTTCTGAATAGATTTTCTTTTTAGAGACCATATAAAGGGGATTTTTTACTTGTTTAGTTCTGTTTCACAGTATTCAGGAAGGTTTGGCAGTCAGCAGTAGATAAACAGATGAGTTTATTATTGTTTACTCCCAAAACTGATTGAATATAAATTCCTTATCATTACCTTTCAAAAGCTTGTTTATCATACTCTTACAATTTTCAGAAGATAGTCCCATTTTTCCCTATTTCCTGTGATTTGCGTTTTTCTGACCTGCAGTTTTATTCAACAAAAATGAGATACCCTCTTAAAACTGCAGAATCAAAGAGAATAAATCCATGGAGGATACTTATGATTCAAAAAAAAAGGATAAATTACTCCTCTACCATTCAATTGTCTGAGGATAACTTCTCCTATACACCCACGTACTCCCTTGAGCCCCTGCATGGGATTGTTTAGGTGTTTTCATTAGGGGATAAATAGGATTAGAGCACACTGTTTATAGGAACCATTTAAGTGGCATCAAAAGTAAAAATATGACCATAACAAAGAAAATGTAGTTCCCCTGGAATGGTATTATCACTTGGTTTCTCTATACACACGTAATAGAAACAACCCTGCATACCTTTAAAATGTGGGTATGGTAAAGACAACATCCGGAAAGTTACATGTCAGCATTCCCCGCACTAGCTGCAATTAGAGGCAATACCTAGATGAGGAAAGCAGTGTGTCATCCCTCATTGTACTATATGCTGCTCTGGGATAAGAACACCATTACATGCCACCATCAGTACGCAGCTCCCATCGTATTAAGACTGTTATTAATACAGCTTGGATTTTTTTGTCATTAAAATGTCTCTGTGTACTTAAGCAGGCGTATTAAAGTGCACTGGCGTGTTTGGCGAGTTGGTGACATATTTCTCAATGATAAGCAGCAAGCCTTATCTTGGGAGTGGGTGCCTTCCTCAGTGTCATGGGTTTAAGATATGCCCATAGTGAAGAAATGCTACATTTCAAGTCTAAATCATTTTCTAAAAGTAGCCTTCCAACTACAAACGGGTGTAGGCCCATGTGCATTTATCCACCAGGTAGCCTAAGATGTCAGTGGAGTGTTGAACAGCATATGAAAGACATGAACTACCTCCATTCATCCCTGTGTCTCTCTGAATCCTGCATACTGCAGTGATTGTAAAGTAGCTAAGTCAGGGAAACATGCGGCAACATGTCTGTACTGTCAGCTGACAGCAAAATATTAAAATACAGGCCCAAATTGATGGCCTTCTCTAAAGCAGGTTACATGCTCAGATTGACCCATCTATAAATAATTCAGAGGGTGGAATTTAATCTGTGCGATGGATTCAGTGTGTTTCCCCCACATTCAGAAAGACTGCATGTATCTTATTACTCGGTGTATTCAGATATCACTGAATAAAGTCCTCAATTTTTTCATCATGGAAGCATAAGAAAGCACCCTTGTTCAGGAAAAATAATTAAGCAAAATCTGTATTCCAACAATGCAATGAAGCAAGCGTACAAAATAAAATTAAGCAGGTGCTGAAGTGTTTGCCAAGTCATGGGACATCCTGCTGGGAAGCATTCCCTGATTCTCTTATATCTCAAGTGTCCAGGGACTTAATGAACGCTGACATGCAATTCACAGGATGCTCCTCCACACCAGCTCCCTTTGTGGACACTTTTGACATGCAGTTTGTGTAAGGTAATTTACCACTTTTGTGTATTTGTAACCTTCCTTGTTCCAAATAGCTTCCTTTTGTAGACAAACATTTAATTTTATCCCTACATACTATTTTCTTGATCTTGCGGAAGACTTCCTTCACTCCAAATGCTGAATGTGTGTGGACTCCTAATAAGGGGCAAAAATAGATCCTCTGGCTATAGTGTTTTGATGAATTAAGCTCATTGTGCCAGAAATATTTTAAATTCTCATAGAAGTCCCGGAAATGAAGCACTTAGGCTGGAAAACAATAAGTAAAACCACAACTGTAGGTGCAAAAAAGGAAAGAACCTACAAATACGTAGGGTATGGGGCGTCTGACTATTAAAATATCCTGTCAATGTGCAATACCTTTAGACACAGAGGCGTTTAAAAACTGATGAACTTGCTTTGTTGAAATCTTTGTTACAGAATTCATTGGTGCATGACACTGGGCCCAAAAGTGCTTTCCCAGATTTATGTGGAAAAGTACTTAGGAGAAAAAGGATTTCTCGTTGAATGTAGTGTTTTAATACCAGAAATGTACTACCTTTTCATTATTTAGTCAAAGCTGCTTGATTTATCCAAAGGGGCAGAATTTTCCAGTGTATTAGAGCATTGTGGTTTTTTAATAGAAGTAAACCAGGTACTGTGTTATTTCACTTGTGTCCTCTCTTCTGCTTACTGATAAGTGGCCTGATCTCAATTCCACTGAAATGACTGAGATTTCTGATATTGAATAAAATCAGAACAGGAGCATGCCTATCATGAGTTTCCATTACTCTCCAGAAGCAAGTTTATCTGTGTGGTAGAGCTGGGATAGGTGCCTAAGCACACCCAGTTATTAGCACTTTCCCATTCTGGTGAAAAGCACAGCTTTCTTAAATTGGGGGGTGCTTTGCCTGCTGTTGTCTCCTGCCTCATCTGCCCCTCGGTTGGCAGGGCTATTGCTGAGGAGGTAGACCACTGAAATTGTACATCTTAATTTTAGTTCTTATGAACGTATCAATGAAACCATCTGGTTTGGCTTGTCATTTGGGTAGGACTGATGGAGGAATTAGTCCTTGATGGAGGCCCCCAAGAGGTAGTTTTTTATATTGTCACTTCTTACCCGGTAGCCCCAGTATCGATTCTGAACTGCAAAGTGGGCTTTCTGAACTTCTTTTAAAACAAATGGTCTATATGTTCCAACTTGAAGTAGAAGCACATCATTCTGAGCTAAAAGAAGTGATGTCCTCCTTGGTTTGTTACATATAGGATCACCTGGGAGACAATATAAAATGGGTACAGAAATCTTCAAAATAAAAAAAAAATTAAAAAATCAAAAATTAAAAAAAAAAAGGTGTTTGTAAGCATTTCTAGTGATTCAACTGTAACTTAAAATTTGGAAATAAAAGCATTATGTTTGAGCAGTCTTTCTCAAAGACACTTCACTTTACTTTTTCCAGGAGTCACTGATGTGATGCTTCCACATTTTTTTCCAGCTTAATCTGTTGGGTCAAATGGTGAACAGATGAAGACAGCAGAAGAACCTGTCTTCTTCTGCCTCCCTTCAAAGCATGAAGTAGCTGTGGGCCTGAGTTATGAACACCATCCAGACCAGGGGCTGGAATAGCTTTTTTTGGCCCCATATAAATATCATGAGATCAGTGAGTCCAAGGCAAGAGGGAGCTCAGGAGACGTGTCCTGTTCTCACCTTGCACAAACCAGTTCCACTGCTGGCCACAGGTGGAAGGGGCTGACTTTATTTTCTTTAGTTTCTTATGAATCTCCCTATCTTGTCCAATCATTAACTGACAGTAGCAGAGTACTCTCATTTCAGCCAGGAAAGCAGAATATTAGTTCATATAATTTTTTAATTGCTTAATAGTCACGTAATTATTGGCTTGAACACCGTTGTGCTTAGACACACTGTCTTTTCTAGGTTACATTTCGGACACGGATCTACCACTGCAACATCAACAGCCAAGGCGTCATCTGCCTGGACATTTTGAAAGACAACTGGAGCCCGGCGTTAACCATTTCTAAAGTTCTCCTCTCCATCTGCTCCCTCCTCACAGACTGCAACCCAGGTAAGACAGATTAACTTCCACATTCACCTTCATTTACAGTTCATATTCGGTCAGCTACTAGGATGTGGTCAGTGCACTGTTTTACTGCTACCTACTAAAAAGACATAAGTGAAAATTTTAAATGCCATTCATTTAAATTAAGACATAATGTAGGAAGAAGGCACAATTTCAGCAGCTCAAGTGCATTTTTAGCACTTGAGAATAAAAATCTTTTTATTGAAAAAGTCTAATCAATAGAAAATACCTTGTAGTAGGCACTAATTTGGATATTACAACCAGGATATTAGCACCGAGAAATATTAATGAGTTAATAAATATTGAAAAGGAAAGCTTTCATTTAAATATGCTGATAATGTGGTCTCTGAAAAGAATATTAATAGTACTGACAGTGATAGATGTCTAACACAGACTCTACAAATAATGAAAATTAATTTAAATGAGGTTTATTCAATATCCTGGACAGCCAGTATGCGTATTCAAAGCAAGCTGTCATTCTTATTAACTAGCATAGCACTTAACCTCTTCCCTCTGCTCTTTTAGATTTGTTTTCTGCCATTGACCACTAGATCTGTAAATTCCACTTTCTCTTACCCTATTTGCCAGTGAATGCTTCTGACTGTAGCCTTGGAGAATCATAGTATATGGAAATTATTAAAGAATCACTAAAGAAAAATAAGTGATCTGTTTGCATTTTGTGAGGGTTGTTCCTGGTTTATTTTTTATTGTGCACCTCAAATTTTATGTTTAATTTGACATCTAGTTTTTAAACCTTTTGGGTTCCTGTATTTAAACTTTTCTCTCCAAACCAAAGGCTAAAGCAAAGGACAGAATGTGAGGTTTTTATATAATCAAGGGCTGAGTCATAACAGAAGACTGAATTATTTCCAGGCTCAGCATAAGGTGAAAGTGGGCAAAAATGCAATTGACTCTTTTTATTTTCAAGTGAGTTTGAATTAAAAAAACCCATGGCATTCCTTCCAGCTAAGAGCGGGAGAGCTGAAAGAGCTCTGTGTCACCATTTCAGGCACATTTATTTAAGGTGTGTTGGATGCTCTCTGCTTACGTCTCAAAGATTGACTTCTGCTTGGGTCTACCCCAAAACATGCAGAGGTGTCTATAGAAGGTCAGGCAGATGGATGACAAAAGTGTGAAGAAAAGCAGATGAATATTTTCTCGTGTCTTAGGGACCAGGTAAGGAGCTAGAGATGCTGCAAAACTGTGTTGGGGTTGAGAAACTGGCTGTAAGTACATGCTCATTTTTGGTCACCTCTTTTTGGAGGAGTACAGTCAACTTGAAAGCTGGCCACTTTCCAGTAATGATTTGAAAATTAGAAATTTGCTCTATCTGCCTTCTCAAGCTTTTTCTTTCCCTCAGACTGTTTAACAGATGCTGTCAAACATCAGTTTTAGCTGACCAGGTGTGTTAAGAGGAACACTGAAAACACTGACCCATAATGTATCATCATATGCAACACATGAACATACTAAAAACAGGAGGTTATTCCTCCCTTCAGTTTCTTTCAGTTAGTGACCATCAGCATTGTCATGACCATAGTAAATAATTTTATGACGTTTCATTTTCAAACATTCTCTTTAACTACAAAGTAGTTTTGGATTTTGTTACTGCTTCATGTTAAAAGTTCCCTATGATTTTTTGAGGAACGGATGCAATTTCTTAATTTATGTTGTGAATTCCCCTCTTAGGGGAGGGAGCCTGCTGATGGCAGGCTGATGTGAACCGCTGAGTCATTTTTGCCTTCCCTTGAGATTGCCTGTTTTGGTTTAGATACTGGTTTTGTAATAAGTGAACTTTGAATATTAGTGATGCACAACAAAAGGCTTGCAATAACTTACAAGTTCTTACTTTTTAGTATATTGCCTAATACACTACAGCCTGTTCTGGTTGTACTGCTTGTCCCATTAATTTTTTATGGCATTTTATCATTAACAAATTATTGGTTCCATGCCACCCAGTTTGAACATGAATAGATAGATAGATAGATAGACAGATACATACATACATATGTACATACATCACTGATATATATATCACTGAGACACATCACATGCACGTGTACGTATATATATATATACAGAGACATAAATATACGTATTTTCTCTTTCAGTTGGGAGCAATTTTTTAATCCCTCGGTCCTCTCCTCATCTAACTAGTCTGCCCCTTTCTAAAGGCAGAATCCCAACAGGGGTCTCTATTTGATAAGCAACTCTGAACTCTTTGTTCACCATTCATCAGCCACAAGCAGATCAGGTCAAATGGAAAGGCAACACTGAAATCTCCCACAAACATAAACACTTGGGATGGGCGGGTTTTCCACCCCCAGCCACTCTGAAGGGAAAAATCAAGTATCAGTTACCCCCTAGTCTTACATTTATGCAAATCTTCATTAGAACAACAAATAGCAGTAAGAATGGCAGCTAATTAACCCTCAGTCATACACAGTGATTAAACGGAGCTGGAGCACAGCTGCAGCTCCATTGGCAAGCGCTGCTATTCTTCTTCAGCGGGCTGAGCAAATGAAAAGAGGTATTTGCTCCTGCCGCTCCTGTCACTCACACAGTAATCTACAAAAGCCACGGAGAGAGTCTCTTTCCTCGCCGGTTATACATCACCGCCCTTTGTTCCCTATCACTCCAGGCAGGAGCGAGTTGGTCCCTTTTTAACAACTCATACAATCCTTTACTCATAAGCTGTCTCAGACCCTTCAGTCCTGATTATTATTAATTGTCTCTATTTTGCTTGGCAGTATCAGCCAGTAAACTGTGTTAATGAAGTGTCTGAATTTTGTAACAGCTGGCTGACTTTTTTTGTGGGGGGAAGGGGTGCCATAGGGTTTGCGTATGAGTGAACACGTATGAATTATCTGGGAGTGCAGGAGCGCCAACTGGAATGGTATCAGAGAGGTGGGAGCAATGATGGGATACACTAGCATTCAATCCTGGGACTCCAGCTCTTTAAGGTGGTTGTCTGGGGTACAGCACGCATCTCTTTCACCAAAGCAGGGCTCCAATCCTGTAAATATTTTGGCATCCGCATGAGCAACCCTCCAAAACCTGATAGATACGTTCATCTGCATGAAACCGAGTATGTGAGTAAGTGCTCACGGGCTCTGAGCTTGAGTGATGAAAATATTTACTTCCAGTGCTACTGCTATGGCTTGCCTATGTGGGTAGTTAGTTATTTCAGAGGAACTCCATGTGTGGACACTCCCCTCTTTGAAAATGGATTAAGTCAAATCATGAAAAACTGTCTTACCTGGCATAAAAGTACTTTAAGTATTCAGCCAGACCCTGAGCTTGAAGTACAAAACCGAATTAATTGTTTTTATATTTAGAGAGCTGGTGGTGCTGATCTGGGTTAAAATGCTTACTGTTCTTAGTTGGGTCATGGCCACCCCGGTCCTGCCCAAGGCTTTCAAGCCCCAGAAAAATTCTCATTTGCAAATGCTTCAGGGAAAATAAATTGAAACACTGACAAGACTGCACTGCAACTTTTTTCTCCATGTGGCCTCCTTCTTCTCACGTTCCGAGTTGGAACTTGGCTGGCCTGATTATCCCTGGTGTATGAACGTCGAATCATGTCTCTTTAGTACCACGCGGCTAAGCCTTGATTGGGGCATCACAACAAAGCCTGCTTCACCTCCTCGCACCAGCCTCTTCACTTCGGGCGTCATCCTCCACCTCTCGCTCCTTACTGTTTTTCCCACACACAAGTTCCACGGTCAGTGAGGATTTTATCCCTCAGTTGATGTTCCCAAACTGAATGCTTTGGGGCTGCTCCTGGCCCTCTTCCCCACGTGCCTGGTCTTGTCCTGTGCTGGGGATGTGCAGACAGAGGCGAAGAGGGGCGACCTGGGGCAGGGAGCAGCCACGTTGCTTTCCCACAGGTATGCCCGGTTCGCCTGAACACTTGGCTGTCTGCAGGAACCAAAAAGAGAGCGGAGGAGCGCTACAGATCCTCGCTTGCTTTGCTCTTTAGAAACACACTAACCAGACCTGTGCCTATTAGCCTTCTTGCATAAGAGAGGCTTTCCATCCGCCTTGCAGCCACCTCCTGCCCCTCCATCGCGCTGCAGTCATCCTTCCTCAACGTGCCTGACTCGTGTGGAGTTCATTGGGGCATGAGGCACGGCTAGACAGACTAACCCGCTCATCATCACCGTCACCCGGGTTGAAATATTTACTGCTCCCCGTTGGATGTCCCTATCCCACTGCCAGCCCTGTCAAAGGTTATTTCTTTCTTAGCTCTGTCATTTTCACTGTCTGCCTTCTAACTCAATTTAGTGAAATGATGGAGGAAAAGAAAAGTAAAAAAAAGGAAATGGAAGGAAGGGAGAGCAAAAGAAATAAAGAAAAAGCTCTTGCTAGAAAAGGGAATTAACCTCTGGCAAAGGAAATCCACAGACAACTGGCAGCAGTAGCTGCTTCACCTGGGTCAGCACCGGCCAGGTTAGTTGGTCTGACTCTGCTCTCAGGTACTTCAGTGGCATATGCAAAGCTGCTTATCTCTTTATCCTATAAACCCACCAGAAAGTGTGACACAGTTTGTGCAGTGTTACATATAAGGTTTGCTGTGAACGTTGTATGAGATTGAAGTGCATGTGTCCTCACAGTAAATGGAATTACAAGAGTGAGTTGGACGGGTACCACTGCCTTACTTTGATGTGAGCCCCATCAGTCCTTACAGAAGTTGCAGTTGCTCAGCATGTCAGAAAAGCAGGCTGCTTATGTTTGAAAACTTTGCAATGCATATTGTGGTTTTCAAATATGAGGTACCTCGGTTAGAAGTGTATGTGCTGGTGTTTTACAAGTACTGCCATGAATCATGCATTTACTAGATGGTTTCATACTTTGTTAACCCACATTAAGTAATGTGGCTGTGCATTTTAATGACTTACACTTATCTAAGCAAAGACAAAAAACATCAAACAAGATCCTAAGATTATGGGGATCTTTACTTGTCTCACTAAGGGACATGAAGC